TGTGGACGCATTCCCATCTACCTGCCAGCTGTGCTCGAGTGCCTGACCACTGAGATCCTGGAACCAGCAGGAAACACGGCTCATGACAGCAGAAGGACAGGATCGTCCCTCAACACCTACAGTTGGATGTCCGCAGCGACGAGGAGCTCGGCAGACTGCTGGGAGGAGTGGCCATTGCACTGGGAGGAGTGGCCATCGCTCTGGGAGGAGTTCTGCCTGGCATTCGGGCGGTCCTACAGCCCGAGGGGAACCGAGAGGCCGGCCAAGTCTGGGCGGACGGATGGGACGGCATCTGCAGCCAGTTCCTTAGGATCCACTGTGGGATGGACCTTTACAAGAGATCCTTCCTGCCTACAGCCATCAGTATCTATAACATCTCTTTATGAAATGAGGATAACAAGTTACAACAACAAATAATTTCCCTTTGGGATTAATAAAGTATTTTTGAATTGAATTGAATTGAATCTGGACAATTCCATTTTTTGTTGAGAGACGTTTTGCTCTCCATCAATCTGAGACGTCACAGACTGTTTTCCCCACCAAGCAGTGCACTCCTACAGTGGAGTGTGCTCAGACTGATGAAGCCCTTCGTTGTTGGATTTCTTTACAGGGATTATTGCGCATGAACTATGCACAATGGATCCATGTTTTATGGAAGTAGTAACATGACTCAGACATGTCACTACATTTCATTTCATTGTGCAAAATGAAGTCGAGGAAACTGCAGCTCTGCACTTCTTGTTGCACACAGAAATTAGAATCGGGTTTGCATGAAGAAAAAGAAAACGCACTGGAGAAGCAAAAGGGGACAAAAAGGAGGAACAGCCAAACATAAGGAAAATCCTTTACACGACCCCCATAAAGCTCTGAGCTCAACATCAACGAGTCGTCAACAACACAAGATGCCGACAGCTTAAAACCACAGAACAATAAACACGGTCCTTTTTTAAATCTTCGAAGAGCATCAGCTGAGCAGACGAGGGCAGGCCAGCCTCTGTAATCAACTGTTTCTCATTAGGACACTGGGGGTCGACCATTATGGCTCAGGGCCTCTCAGCAGTCCGTCTCCAAACAATGCCAACTATTTTCCTCCGTCTCCTCACTTCCTGGTACGGAGTGGGCCCTTTCACCAAGGCCTGAGCATTTCTTACATACAGCTGTCCCACTCCGTCTCTGTGTGCGTCTTCTCCCTGAAGCACGCCTCAGAAAGTCCACCCACCTGGAGCAAACCGACACGTCTCCGTTTCAGTCCTCGAGCACGTCTTCAACAATAAAGTACTCTAGTTGTGTTATTTAATAATAATAATAATAATAATAATAATAATAATAATAATAATAATA